GGACGTACGTTTCCATTTGGTGAAACTCGTCTCCGGTATATATATTTTTTTTAAGATTATCCCTCTCGAAGTGATGGCATGCACTCTATAGCAATGTTATTTAGTATAAAAGATAAAAATGTCTCCGTCAAATTTGTTTAAAAACAATTCAGAATTGGATATGCAACCATATATTAAATTCGTTCTCTACTAAATATGCGGAGCTTTACTAAATATGCTTAGTGGTGTAGGGTACCATATAGACGGCCTCGCCCGACTTTTTACTTTTTCTTACTTGTTAAGAATACATTTTCAAGGACAATTAAGATTATAAACGTTGAATATTTGAGAGTATAAGGACCAACTAAACCATAATCTTAAATTTTTAAGGAACATTTTTCCATAAACCACTATTCTATAATTTTGAATTTTCTAAGACTATATTTTTATGTGCAAACAAAGCTGTAATCATGGACTAACCTAGCGTAGATCAACGATTATACCGTCCTAGACAAATAAAGTTATAAGGTTTGCGGGTTCTCTTAAACTCCGGTTATGAGCACAGGCTGCCGCATCACCTCTAGAGTAGGTACAAGATGTTGACATGCGATCCAAATCCCAGGCGGACCAGCATACTTTTTCTACTGACTTTTCACTTTAGAAGTTTTCTGCGTATTGACGATCTACAAAAAGCTTTACGTCTAGGGAAGTCCTTCTGTCCGCAAAATGTCTCTAAAAGGACGAAATGTAGGTCCATTGAAGACCATTTTCTATAAAACTTCAATGGAAGACTCCAAAAAAAACCTTCTATGTTTAGGATTTCTTAAAATAGTTGTTTTATGTTTGAAATACTCAATTAATGTATTTTATGAAGGAAAACCCCTAAGGAAAATGTTATACATAAAGATTATTTAACGAAATACTTCAAAATATGATCTATATAGGCCACCCTACAAATGTCTTATATCTATATAAGGCATTTAAAAGACTTCCATCCAAAGAACAAACGATGATGGTGAAGTTGGACCTCTAACACGTTGTCTATCTATATAAGAACTTAAAGACTCCTACATATGATCCTATTTTTATAGAGGGCCTGGAAAAGGTATAATGCCTTCAAAATCCTCAAGGAGGTTTCTATACTAAAACCCTGAAGAATTTATTCTATCTATAGAAGACCTTAAGAAATTTTCAGTCTTTATATGGATTTTTTGATTAGAAGCCGATTGTTATAAAGTACGAGACGACAACTACAAATCTTAGATACCAGATAAATCTCTCCAAACCTGACGGAACTACTTGTGACCATCAGTGAAATATTAGTTTTTCTGATTTTTATTTTGATTTCAATTATTCTTGAAGCCACACACACACACCAACAATTATTATGCAAAATCTGCATTTGATAATTTGATACTTTAGGCAAGCATGCACCACTAAAGTAGAAAAAAACATTTGGCCTGCAAACTTGTAATGCAAACATGATATCACGTTCTGGGCTCCAGATGTTCAATGGATAAACGGCAATTGTGTGAAAGAGTGTGTGTTCCACAAAAAACGGCTAATATTTCTTCTTTCGTATTTGCCTGCATTCAAAGCTTGTTTTTTGGTTGGGTAGATACTTTGAAATTTGAGAGAATTTGGTTCGATTCCTTTTTCCGTTCCGTTCATTCGTTTGGTTTGTTCGCCCAAAAGCAAAATTTATAAATTATTGAGCACCTGTTATGCTACATGATTATCGCAATGGCAAAAACGGCAGCAACAACAAAAAAACAAGCTAAAGGGCTATTTGCCAAGCAAATATTCAAATATTAAAACTGTTGCAGTTTCGGTTGGTATTTTTATCGTTCAACAATGTGACCCGAGGGCTTAAATTGATTAATCGACGTAAAAAGAAAGTTGTTGTTGCTTTGTTTTAACAAATATCCCCATCAAATGTGTGTGTGTGTGGATTTGAATAATTGGTATCAACTTTTCTGGTATCAATTTCTTTAGAATGAAATTATGTTTCAGGTCTAGTAATGTTGACTTAGGATAAGATGAAAGTCGACTTCCGACTAAGCAAAAACTCATGTCTAAAATATAGACACCAAGAAATCTTAACCCAAAAATTTAAAATAAAATAGAATAGGGATACTCTGCGATATAAACTTTCAAACAACAACTTTCATAAACATCTGAATGTTTCCTTTTTTGCACAGTGTTACCCTCGCTGATTTAATATATCTACGAAGATTGACAAAAGTATATTTCATATAAATATTCTAGACATTTTTCCAAGCATGGGTGTAGAATAAGTTCTTTCGTGTATTGACGTATTCGCCTTAAAGGTCATAGGTTGAAGGTATAGTTTAGCCTGTAAACCGACTGATACTCCATATGTTATCATAACCTCAGATATATGGCTATAGAGGGTATATATCATTTGATACGGCCAAAACTTGATTCATCGAAATGACAGATTTATACACTAAGTCTCTTCGGACCAAATCCGTTTTAGGACATTTGGTGTCGATCTATGCATATCCGTTCGTTCATCTGTCTGCCTGGCTGTTACGTACGATATCTCTTGAAGGGAATATCCAACTTAGTCCAAACTTGGCATATCGTAGTATTATTACCCAACTTAAACCACATTCGGATATGGACAATATCGGTCCACTCATTCATAAAATATTTTAATGCACAGAAAGAGAGAGGATAATTCGATTTGGATCGAACTTTTCAAATCCTAGTACTTGCATCAGTGCTAGGTCAGATGCGAAAACGTACTATGTCGGTCCACTCCACCAAGTACCTACCACTACCAAATGATGTAAGAGTTCGGTTATCTTCAAATTACACACATCACAATATTTTTATTAACCCAAGGTCTGGTGCGAAGATGGAATATATCGGTGCCCTCCTTTTCTGGTACCTCCCTCACAAAAGGTCAACATTTTGAATAACAAACACGATTATAAAATCCGAAATAAGCATTCGGTTCTCTTCATATTTCACACATTCCATTATTTCTACAAACACAAGATCTACTATGAAGATGGGATATATCGGTCCACACCCACTGGTACCGCCCCACAAAGAGTAAAAAATTTGAATTATTATAACTCTTATAAAACGTGAAATAAGACTACGATTGTCTTCAAATTTCGCACAACTCAATATTGTTATCAACAGAAGATGAAGTGTGGATATAAAACGGTTCCATCCTTCAGGTACCTTAGCCACAACGGGTCAACATTTTGAATACTTATATATCTCAAAAAATGCAAAATAAGCACAAGATTCTCTTCAAATTTCACATATCCTAATATTTCTACTAACACAAGATCTGGTGTAAAGATAATAGATATCAACCCACCCCTTCTAATACCTACCCCACAAGGGGTCAACTTTTTGAATAATCGTCTCTCTTATAAAATGTGAAATAGGAGTCCTATGGTTTTCAAATTTCAGACATCCCAATTATTTTACCAACTAAAGATCTTGTATAAAGAACAGATAGATCGGACCACTCCTTCTGGTACCATCCCCACAACGGTTCAACATTTTTAATAACCATGTCGCTCATAAAAGGCGAAATAAACATCCGATTCTTTTCAAATGTGGAACATCCCAATATTTCCACCCACGCAAGATCTACTATGGAGATGGGATACATCCGCCTACTCCTTCTGGTACCTCCCCTGCAAAGGGTCAAAATTTTGAATAATAATGACTGCTATAAAATGTGAAATAAAATTCCGATTGTCTTCAAGTTTTGCACATCTCAATATTTTTATCAGCAAAAGATCTAGTATGGAGATGAAATATATCGGACCAATCCTTCAGGTACCTCCCCACAACGGTTCAAATTTTTAAATAACGATATTTGTCAGAAAATTCGATATAAGCACCATATTCTCTTCAAATTACATACATTCCAATATTTCTACTATTGCAAGATCTAATAGTTATCGACCCAGACCTTCTGGTACCTCCCCCACAAAGAGTCAACGTTTTGGATAATCGTCCCTCTTATAAAAAATGAAATAAGAGTCCCATGGTCTTCAAATTTTGCATATCCCAATTCTTTTACCAACAAAAGACCTGGTATCAAGAAGGGATAGAACGAACCACTCTTTCCGGTAACCTCCCCCTCCCCCCACAAAGGGGTATAATTATTTGAATAATTATAACTCCTATAAAATGTAAAATAAGAATCAGATTGTCTTTAAGTTTTCCACATCTCAATATTTTTACCAAGACAAAATCTGGTATAGATATAAAATATATCTGACAAATCCCCTTCTGGTACCTCCCCACAACCGGAAAATTTTTTAAGAATTTATATCTCTCAAAAAAATTCAAAATATGCACCCGGTTTTCTTCAAATTTCACACCTTCCAATATTTTTACTAACACAAGGTCTGGTAGATATCGGTAATAAATATCGACCCACCTCTTCTTGAACCTCCCCCACAAAGGGTCACAATTGTCAGTAGTTATATATCTCATAATTTGTGAAAGTTATTTCTCTCAACCAGGGATTCGATGTGAATAACGAATCTTTGGGCCATCTCCTTGTGGTACCTTATCACAAAAGTTCAACATTTTGATTTTTATTTCTTTCCCATAAATTTGGGAATAAATGTTCGATTTCCTCCAAATGTTGCACATTACAATATTTTTATCAGTTATAGATGAAGTGCAATTCTCCAGTCCTCTGTTACCTCACGCATATTTCAACGTTTTCCCAAAATTATCACATATCTCATAAAATGTGAAGAAGAATGTAGTCGATATAGTCTAAATCTGATACGTTGTCACATTTGTATCAAACTTAATTCAGATTCGAAATGGACCAATATTGGCCCACTTCTTCAGAGTCTCCCCAAAAAAGGGTCAACAGTTTGAATGATCATAACCCAAGGCTGGATGATTACATCTCTCGGCAAAACCTACTAATACTATTTAATTTTTAACAACAATTTTATTTGAAATTTATTTTCATTTTTTCTCTCTATTTTTTTCCATTGCAGTACGGTCAGCGGGTGCCCACAGCCACTTCACCAAGTAATACAAATTCAAGCAGCTCATCAAATACCGGATCCCAGAGCGGAACATTAAGTACTAGTCTAAGTAATACCAATACAAATACAACAACAATGGGTCCTAACAATGGTACAACACAAAATCACCAAGGCGAACAATTGTCCAAAACAAATTTATACATTCGAGGTTTACAACAAGGCACAACCGATAAAGATTTAGTTACTATGTGTGCACAGTAAGTATATATATTGTTTTTACCTTAGATATTATGAGAAAGGAAAATTGTGGTCAAAATGCAAAATGACGTAACTTAATTATGCCACCAGAAAATTTGCATACAAAACCATAACACTTAGGACCTCTACCTACAAGAAACCCAACAATTCTAAGAGCCATTATTATTACTCTCAGCACGTGCCACCCAAGAATGGTTAGAAAATGAGGTTCCTCGCTTCATTTCCAGCGCACAATGACCACCAAAATCTACGGATACCAATCCCTTGGACTATTGTGTCTGGAGTATTTTGGAAACGTTGGCATTAAAATTTTCTATCACCTCAAGCAAGCGCTTCGCCGGGAATAGGCCAAAATACCACAGGGAAACATTCGGACAGCGGGTGACGGTTTCATTGGCCGTTTGAAGGTCATAAATCGTGCCAAAGGTGACCAATTCGAACAAATCGAAATTTATTCTAAATTTGACCCTATTTCCGACATTTTTTGCTTTCATTCAATAAAATTTAAAAAAAAAAATGTAAACATTTTGGCGTTTGACTTTGCTGCAGTTTTTTTTTATCTCAACCTGAATATATTCTCTATATATCGAAACAAAAAATATTATTTAAGTCATTTTGCATATTGGCCATCATACCTTGTATCATTATTTATATCTATTTGTATATATTTTTGTTATTATTTACAATTTCTCTTCCTCCATCACTTGCAAACTCTATTGCCCATAGCCAGCAACGACTATTACTTTTCTCGTCTTTGTTTTCAATTTGCAATTATATTTTTCTGAGAATTGCACTAAAGTATTTTCTGTATTTTTTTTTCTCGATTTTTGCTCTTCGGAAACATTTCTCAGAAGAGTTTTGATTGTCAGCTTGTTCATGACCACAGTCAACGCTGACAAGAGTAGTTTATGAAACAGTTCGTAAATCTATGGGGGAAAATGATTGGGGGTTTTTCCAAAAAGAAAAAAACTTAAGTCGGTATTAAGTTTGTCACGATAATTTGTGGATTGTGGTTTGTGCTGTAAAATCACTGCAATAAAGACTGTCGAGAAAATTTAATTATTTAAACAGTCTTCGAGATTAAATTTAAAATGCTCTGTGTTGTTAACTGCAAGACATACAGGCATTTCTATTTAAAATGCTATGGTTTGAAAATAATTAATAAACTTTATTGTTATGAAATAATTAAGTCAAATCTCAAAGGCATTCTAAGGTCCAAACTAATGTTTATGGTCCGTTTATATGTATGCCTAAGATTGTCCACTATTTGAAGCTGGATCAAACAATACCTAAGATTGTATGAAAATCACTTTTAAGTATAAAACTAGAACTATAAAGGGCACCATTGAGTTCGTTAACGGGATTTTTTGGAATATTTTAGTTTTGATGGTAGGTTATGGTACGGTACTATTTTGTACAACATTTAAGTTTTTCTTAACTGTCTCTCGGCGAGACTTTCAAAACTTCGAACTTTAGGGATAGGAAAACTGGTCAATTATAACCTTGCATTATTTCGTAATTTTTGTTTATTATAAAAAAGTACTAAAATCAACAAAATGGTACGACAATTTTTTATAACCTAAAAATTTTAAAAATCTGCCGGAATCGCCACAGTATGGTAAAAAATTGACGGATAGAAGCTAGAATTTTTAAATGATGAAATTACGAAGAAGAAAGATAGAGCTTTGACATTCACTTTATTTCATTCACATTCATTTCATACATTTAGGTATTTTGGTGCATAGGTATCCATATATTTGGTATTTTGCAAGACTCCGCCACTATTTCCATAGTAATTCGAAATTTTGGGTTCTAGATGAGTCTATTTACTTCTCCCAAAAGTTTCGGTACAGCTCTCATATATCGATTCACTGTGTTTTGGAAGTTTCTGACCCAAATTCCTACCAAATCAGATGTATTTCAACCTTTCAATTTTAGGGATATTAATTTGATTCTCGACTTAAATTGTTCAATGTACGACCACTCTTGATATTACCTCACACAGCGGCTCCTCCGGATTTTGAAAAATTTAAGTTTTGAAATGTCCCTCTTCAATATTCTTCATTAAATTATTAAATGTCAACCATCAAGCGTTTGACCAAAAGCATCTTTTTTGTTCTTTTTCAAATAATTTATTATAGACTTCATTTGAACGGGATCCAACAAATCAAAATATTGCACAAAATTATTTGCCATAAAAATGTACTATGAGTCTCAGAATGTATAAAAATTTTACATAAATGCCAAGATTTCATAAATATTTAGGTTAAAGATCTACTTCATGTGAGCTATTAAAAATTCTCCTACATTTCGTCGTTTTTTTTTTTTTCGAATTGATGCAGGAAAATAAAATAAAACTTCAATTCAGACAGCCGAAAGAGTAAATTTTCCACATTAAATATCATTCTTAATCCATATATTATATTATATATTAAATGTGAGAGTTATTTGTCTAAGTTTTTGACTGTTCAGGTTTAAGGCTCCTAATATGATTTTCATACTTCATGTTTTTGGGAATGAGTCTAAAGAAGAAATACTTCATGTTTTTGGGAAAGAGTCTAAAGAACAAATATTCTAGATCAAATTTCGAAAATATCTTCTAAATCTTTTGAAGTTTACCGAGGAGGATATAAGTAAGCCCATTGCACAGTGGACAAACATCAAATTTTTCTGTCAATACTATTTATACGGCTCCATATGCAAGCTGTTGGTTTAGTGACCTTAATGTCAAATTTCAGCCCTATTCCTTTGCCCAATGCCAAATTGTATCAAATATAGTGCTATTTAGTACTTTTCGTACAATTATAGTACACCTTTCCGAAATCACCTCCATATGTCCACATTACACATGAACAGTGACCTAGTACCAAATTTCAGATTTCAAGCACTAACTTTTCACCCAATACCAAATTGTACCAAATATAGTACTATTTTGTACATTTAGTACAATTATAGTACACATTTACAAAACCACCTCAATATTTCAATTCCAAATAGCAACAGAGACTACCAAATTTGAGGATTCCACGCTATCCCTTCAACCAAGACTGATGAGGTCGACTCCTAACCTCATCACAAAGCGATGTAACTAACGAAAGAAAAAGAAAATGCCGCGAGTTGATCTTTCTCGTTCCGTGGCTGGAAGGGAACTCAATTTATTTACAACATATTCTTAACACTAAAGCTTACATCTAATACATTAACACATGCATTTTATTTACTAATGCACGCTGTGCATTAACGCACACAATACGTTGCGGGAGAAAACGAAACGTTCCTAATTTGTGATCGACTCTTATCTTCTATTTATGGCCGTGACATTTATTACATTATTTATTACCGACCATAAACCTAGCATTTGGAAAACACATGCATCTTAAGTGTTTTCTTTATTTAACTAATTTACATTCTTCGGAAAAGACAAATAAAAATGAGATAAGAATTTAAAGAAGAACATTCAACACACAAACTATTTTTACAACATGTACAGTTTCTACAAAACTAAACAAAGACCAAATTTAGTACTATTTTGTACTTTTGGTACAATTTTAATACACACTTCCAAAACCACCTCCGTATTCCAATTGCAGATACCAACAAAGACATCAGCATCAAGTTTGAGGATTCCAGCTCTATCCCTTCACCCTATTCCAAATTTAGTACCACTTAGTACTTTTCGTTCAAATATAGGACGGATTTCCAAACCATCTTCAATTCTCAAAAACATATGCTATCAATAATCTAAATATCAAATTTCAACATTCTATCTCTATCCCCTCACCAAGCTACACATGAACAGCGACCCTAATACAGCCCAATATTAAATTGTACTAAATAAAGTACTACTATTTAATACTTTTCGTGCACTTGTAGTACACGTTTCCAAAATCACCTCTTAATCACAAACCTACCACCAACAGGGACCCCAATACAAAATTCAATATTCCAGCTGCATCCGTTCACCCTAAACTAAGATGTTCCAAATTTAGTACTATTTAGTACAGTTCCCATCTTGATTCTCATACCAAATTTGAAATTTTTAGCACTATGCACATAATGCCAAACGGTGCCATTTTAGAACCTTTCGTAACGTTCAAGTTCGAATTTTTAAAACTCCTTTGGTACATCTTTCCTGCACTGCATCAGAGACTCTCATTCCAAATTTTAGAATCTCAGAACAAAATATTAATTTTTAAAAAATTTTAGTACTTTCCGTACCTTTTTAGTACGAATTTTGCAAAAACCAGTGTTATCGCACGCTTACGTTCAAAATTTCAAGATTCTAGCTTCAGCGTTTTCGTTTAGGCATTGATTCTTGGGTTTAAAGGGAAATGTAAGAAAATATCAAAAACCTACAAGACCGACCTCCTGCTCCATTTAAAGCTGAAAAGCTACGGACTGTTTGCAAAGCAAATTTATTTTGGGAAAAATGTGAACAGTTCTGGTGGTGAGTTTACTGATCGATGCTGAATTTAATACACAAAACTATGATTGAGTGCAAGGTGTGTTGAATATCACATGGGATGGGTTTCGGCTAGTCCTACGTTAACTAGTAATAGAATTGCAATACAGAACCAAATATAGTATAATTTAATAACAACATTCCGCTACGAGATGGGAAAGTCGAAACAAATAGTTTTTATAGGAAAAGTTGGGTGTAAAACTTATAACTCGATTTTACATAAATTTTTGGAGCAAAAAAAAAATATTTTTTATGTTTTTTATGCATTTTTTCTGAGTTTTCATTCGGTGATCTATTCTTATTGTCATAATCCAAAATAATATATATATTTTTTTCAATTGAATTACAATAATAATAATAATTAATTAATTTCCTCTCCTTCTTCTCTCTTTTCAGATATGGAACTATTATATCCACAAAGGCTATTTTAGATAAAACAACAAATAAATGTAAAGGTATTTTTTGCTTTTCACCATTTTCTCCATCAACTTTAGTTTGTGTTGTTTTGTTTCTGTTCTTTAATTATTGTTTGTTAGTTCTTCGTCTTCTTTGTTTTTGTTTTTAATTATTACATTTGTTGTATTTGTTGTAAATGTTTGTTAATAATATCTGTGTTTTTGTGTTGGTGTATCATCTTGGTATTACTGTGGGTGATTGAGCGAATAAATAAATAATTGAGTGTATGTGAGTGTCGGTGTGTTTGTGAGCAGCGAGTACAAGTAGTAGGTGGGTATATGTAATGTGTGTGTGTGTTTTCTCTTGTTCCTTGGTTGTTCTCATTTCATGCAATTATTGTTGTTGAGATGTTGTGTTCTTTCTTTTGCTGACACATCCCCCCACCCACGACAGCGTTAACAACAGAGGGCAACAACAATAACGGAAATGAGTAACAAAGTCAAATGTTAAGTTAATTATTTAATTCCTTTTTGTTATTGATGTTTGCGTTGTTGTTATTGTTGATTATTTTTTCGTTAGTGAGTGTAATTGTGTATGTATGTGTGTGTACATTTTTTGGTTATTTTTTGATGTTGTTTTTAGATCTCTCTGTGTGTGTGAAATCAATTTATTGTAGTTTTAGTTTAATTCAATTTCTCTTCTGTTCTCTCAAATATTTATTTTTGTGTTTGAATAATTGGGAACGTTTTTGTTTTCTTTATCCTAGTAAACTATATGTTTTTGTTTGTTTTATGTTTTCATTCAATTAACTTTCTTGTTTTATTATCGATTATGTTCCATCATAACTCATCTCATTGTAAAATCTGCACTTGTGTATTTATAGAACTAGTGCTTGAGTAGTTCCCTCACATTGTCGGAAAATATAAATTAATTGCATTTTTTTCTACGTAATTTTTATTAAACCATTTTTGTCCTCTTCATTTTGCAAGTCAATGTTTTTAATTAATTGTTAATAAATGTTTTAAAATAGGGGTTTTTATTATGAAGTGTGTAAATTGATTAACACCCATGACAATTGTACTGCAATATAATTGTTGTGTTTTTATTTAAATTTATTTAATGACATAGTGAAAATAATTAAATTAAATTCCAATGGTAGTTACATTTTGGAAGTCGGCAGTGATAAAAACTCTATGGAAATGGCCTAAAGAGATTTGGGACACACAAAAACAATCCGATTTTTTTCAATAATTTGTATACTATTCTTAAAATTTGAATCTTTGAAATTATCTTGTCACATTAAAGATTCTTGAAAGCTGCAACAACTGCAGAGAAGGTATTTTCGAGGACAAAAGTCAGCCTGAGACGACTATAGGTTACTCTGAGAATGTTACAAGCTTTTCATAGCAAATGTGCGGTTCATACTTAATGCACACTACGACCTAGGTGCTGTTTAAATTTTATATGACATATATGTATGTATGGATCTGTATCTGAATAACAATTGATCTTTGGTACCAACTGTCATTTTGTGGAAGGAACTTGATCCCATTATCCAAATCTTATCATACCCTTAGCCATATGACTACAGAGGGTATGTTTCATTTGATTCGGCCAAAACGTGGCTCATCGAAATAACGTTTTTAGGCCCTAGGTCTCTATGGACCAAATCCGTGTGGAGTCGATTTAGGAATGTCCTTCCGACCGTCTCTCTGCCTGCTGGCTTGTGCGCACGATAACTCTCGAATGGAGCATCCGATTTGATCCAAACTTGGTATATCGTAATATTATTGTCAAACTTAGATCGAGTTCGGAGATGAGCAATATCGGTCTACTGCTTCTGCTACCTCCCACACAAAATGTCAAAATTTTCAAAGAAAATAATAATACAACGTATAGAATACGAAATAATCATTAAATTCTATGCACACTTTGCAAATCCGAATATTTGTATCAGTTCTAGATCTGGTGCGAAAATTGACAATATCGGTCCACCCAAACATGTGTCTCCCATACAAATGGTCAAAAGTTGAAATAATTAAATCTTTTTTTTAACTTTACGAAATGAGCATCCGATTCTCTTCAAATCTCACACTTCACAATATTTCTATCAACAAATAATCTGGTGTGAAGGTGAAATATATCAGACCATTCCTTCCATTACCTCCCCCACAATGGGTCAAAATTTTAAATAAGTATGAAGCGTATAAACCGCCAAATAAGCATTCTATTATTTTCAAATTTGGCACATCCCAGTATTTCTGTTAACACAAGATCTGGTATTTATTCAACTCTGTTTGCCCGATCCCTCACCATAACCCAGATATATCCAAATCTGAACGATTTATCACAAATTTCATTGGCGACTAACACTAAATGACCTGGGTACATTTGTTTCTTAATGGGACAAGTACAGGGTGAGATAAAAACCAACCTTGATTTCCAAAATACTCCAGACATAATAGTCCAATGGATTGGTATCCGGACATTTTGGTGGCCATTGTGCGCTGGAAATGAAGCGAGGAACCTCATTTTGTAACAATTCTTGGGTGGCGCGTGCTAAGTGCGATGGTGTTGAGTCCTGTTGGAATGTCCAAGGTCTGCTGCCAAAATGTTTGCGTGCCCAAAGCTTTAATACACCCTCCAGAATATATTCGCTATAATATTCCGCATTTATTCTGATGCCACGGTCGATCAATACGAGCAGAGAGCGACAATCAGCTGTTATAGCGGTCCACACCATCACCATGGCCGGCGAATTCTGAACTCTTGTGGCCAACCAAAGGTGCACATTTTCAGCTGACCTCTTTCGCAAGTAAACACGATCATTTTATTTGTTTACAAACTGCTGGACAACGAATGTTTTCTCATCGGAGAAAATCAAATTCGGCAGTTCACCACTTTCGGCCAAGAGATGCAATTCTTTGGCTCTTTTGAGTCTATTTTCTTCCTGTTGCGGTGTAAGTTCTTTCACTTTTTGGAATTGGCAATGGCTTTACCCCGAGCTCATTTCTCAATATTTGCCGATTGGAATATTGCGATATGTTAAGCTTACGAGCCATATTTCGGCCACTGCGAAGCGGGTTTCTATCAAGACGCTTCTTTACTTTTCGAACCATTTCTGCTGATGTTGCTGTTTTCTTCCGTCCACTTCCTTGACGTCGGGCTACGCTACCAGTATCATGGTAACTACCAGTATCATGGCACGAGACACAAAAGATTGATCCACATTTATAAGCTGGAGTGCCCTAACGATAGCCACTTGTGGTTTTCCAGCCAAATATAAAGAAATCACACTATCACGCTTGAATTCCATTGCGAATAACTTTTTTTCTGGAAAATTCTCACCAAAATGCTTTTGTTCACTTGTTAACAACATAATGAGCTGTCACTGGAATAATTTTAACAGCTGTCGGACGAGTGGCTTAGAAATGACAGCAGTCTGAAGTTGGTTGCCGTGTTTTGATCTCACCCTGTATATCTTTATTCTATATGAGGTTTATTGTGCACCAAATGCTAATATCAGCCCATATCGACTGAATCTTAGAAATTACGGCTGAATTCATCCTGGAAACCAGTACTTCAAATTTGGTGTAAATCGGTTCAAATATAGCTTTAGCTCCCATATATATGTTTCATCCGATTTGGAGTCTAAAGTCCCTCACACGCGTAATGTGCATTCCACAACCATGATCTTTAGAACCAAATATCAGATATAACCTAGAAATACCACTGCCAAATTTTATCAATATCGGTTCAGATTTGGATATAGCTCCCATATACAGGGTGGCCCATATTCGACGGACCCATGACTCTTTGGGCCCATTCCAATCGACGAGGCTTGTCCGCAGGCAACATTCTTTGCGTCAATTGAATTTTGTACGGGAACAAATGCAAATCAATGCGAATAATCCGTTTTAAAGTGGACCGAGCCATGTCCAACTGCTGAGAACAGCGTTTTTGGCATGTTTTTGGGGACCTCTCAACACTGACTCGTACGGCAGCGATATTCTCGGCCGATCGCCTTGGTCGACTTTTATATGGCCTCTTCGGATTAGAAAGAGCCTTACCAGTCGAACATTTTTCGTATAAACGCTTAATGGTGTTCTTAGAAGGCGCACTTCTCACATTTTTTAATGTTTTAAAAGCACGTTGAGTTTTCACAATTGACTTCTTCTGTTGAATGTAAATTTCAACTATTTCGCGTGGTGTGTATTGGTTCATGGTAAAAATCTGCTTGGACTGACGCTTTAAACGCGGTATGTCATTAAGCGATGTGACATCTCTGTCAAAAGTTATGGCGTTGCCAGATGGGTCCGTCGAATATGGACAACCCTGTACATCTTCAACCGATTTCGGATTAATTGTGCCCCAAATGGCAAATATTAGTCCAAATGACCTGAATTGTGGTACATCAGACCTAATTCAGTCTAGAAGCAAGTACATTAAATTTGGTGAAAATCGGTTCAGATATTGCTATAGATCCCATATATATGTTTCATCCGATTTGATGTTTAAGTTCCTCACATTCGTAATATGCATTCGACAACAATGATATTTGGTACCAGATTTGTTATAGAGCTCAGAAATACATTTGCCAAATTTTATCGAGAGCGGATTTGGATATAGCTCCCATATATAATAATCAGCCCAAATCGGAAAAGGAAAAAATGTATTCATAAAAAACCGGAATTATCAAATTACAGTTAAATTTGTTAGAAGTGAAGGCCAAAGTATTCAAAATACCAAACGTCAGAACGTACTGTAAACTATCCAAAACACATTGTCCTACATTTAATATATTTTGCAACCCACTGAGAACCACAAACCAGGAAATTGACGGACTTGTCTAAATCGACATAAAATTTTATGATGATCATGAAAATATTCGTCTCCGACGAATATTTCAAGGTGTTGCCGGAATGACAAATTTAATATAACCCCCATTTCATGGTGGAAGTTTTGAAAAGTTTTCTTGAGAAAAAAAACTTATTTCCTTAACAAAATTAACCTTTTCCTAAAATAAACCGTTGTATTTGAGTTTCCCGAAGGCAATGCAATGTACTGAATGTATGTATGTACGTATATATGTAATGGTAAATAGATGTATAAAAAAAACTAATAATAGTAATTATTGTAGTCTGTAGCATGCTCGTAAATTATAGCTTTAACTGCATGGCGCGTGTAATTAAATTTGCTTTTGTTTAACTTTTTAGCCTTTTTGTTGTTGTTTTGGGCCTTGGTGTTGGTTGTTTTTTCTTCTCTGGATTTGTTTGATTATTTACCAATAATATTTTGACATTTTAATGAAATATAATTTCTCTGTTTTTTCTCTCTTTCTCTCTTTTCATTCTCTTCCGTTTTTGTTTTGTCTTCCCGTTAATGTGCGGCAACACAACAACACATATTCTAGGTTACGGTTTTGTGGACTTTGAGTGTCCTGCCTACGCTGAAGGAGCCGTCAAAGGACTACAGGCAAAGGGCGTTCAAGCTCAAATGGCCAAAGTGGGTGTTTGGGTACTACATAGGCCGGCCATTGTACGTTTGTTTGCATGCAAGTAATACTCACCCCCACCCTCACCTCTTGTTTTCTGTACTTTTTCTTTTTTGTTTTCGTTTACCTTTCTTTGTTTTTCTTTCTTACTTTACCTTATGGTTCATTTTGTTTTCTCCCTTCATTTTAATACCATTTTTTCTGAAACTTAACTTTATTTTAATTTCATAAACATTTTTCTTTTCGTTACTTTTTGAAACTCATATTGTTTACTAACTTGGTTTACTTTATCGAAGGATAAACTTTGATATTATTAAAATAATATTACTTACGGAAAATTCAACGAAAAACGAAATGATGTTCAGTGTCCTTGATTTTTAATAACATAAAAAATGTCCTTTTACAAGTGCAAGTACTTGACCAAGGTAAAAGATAAAATATTTTTAAAAGATAAAAATATTAAATTTATATTGAGTTAACAGGATAAAATTTCGGCAGATTTTAAATGATTTCATGTCTTTTTTTTATATTTTCCGACTACAAACCTTGGAGAATTCTTAAGGACATAAGTTATTTTTTATATCTCCATTGCAGAAAATATTTAATAGAGGCATTTTCTTTTATTAATAAATGACTATTGCAGTTTTTATCCGCTCATAGAGGAAGATCAATAGTTTATCTTCCGTTCCTGCAAATTCTCCTTTTTTTAATTCTCCTCCTACCGAAAAATGCAATAACTTCTACATGGCTAAATTTCCCCTAATTTAATTTTATATTTTTGTCTTTAGACTAAACCACCTGGCGTTCGTAGAAAAACATAATCTACCACTGCAAGCTTCAGTTTGTAATTTTCTACATGATTCCCATTCGAATGGCGAACATAAGCGTGTGTGTGTCGGTGTGTGCGTGGGTTGAATAATTCAATTACTCCTTCAGAATTTGAAAAAAAAAATTGTTTCTCAGTATTCTTTAGAGCAAATGGCGTTGCTTATAACACTATTTCTGGGTAATATTTTTTAACGCCGTATGATAACATATGGTGGTGTTTGTTCCGAAGGTTGTTTGTATTTAAAAACAAGTCGAAAAATCTTGGGAAATTTAAAAAGTCATAGTCTGAACGCTTTTGATAGGCGACCCTCACCAGGAATTCCCGAGAGAAGAGATTTTCTTCGGATAAGACAAGAAGTCTTCTACAGAGGTTCTTCTATATTGCTCTAGAGCTGTCGAAGGTCTTCTATCTAAAGAAGAGCTTTCGAAGGTCCTTAAAAGAGCTTCAGTTGGCCTTTTTTCTATAGAAGATCTTCAGAAGGTCTTCTATTCATAGAAGCGTTTCAGAAGGTCCTCTAGCTATGGAAGAGCTTCAGAAGGTATTTTATAGATTAAAAAAATATAGAAGGTCTCCTATCTATAGAAGAGGTAAAGAAGGGGTCCTATCTATAGAAGCTCTATAGAAGAGCTTCAGAAAGTTTTCTATCCATAGAAGAAAAAAAAGCTATAGAAGAGCTTCAGAAGGTCTTCTAGCTATAGATGAGCTTCAGAAGGTCTTCTAGCTATAGATGAGCTTCAAAAGGTCCTCTAGCTATAGAAGAGCTTCAGAAGGTCTCCTAGGTCTTCTAGCTATGGATGAGCTTCAGAAGGTCTTCTAGGTATAGATGAGCTTCAAAAGGTCCTCTACCTATAGATGAGCTTCAGAAGGTCTTCTAGCTGTAGATGTGCTTCAGAAGCTCTTCTAGCAATAGAAGAGCTTCAGAAGGTCTAGCTATAGAAGTCTTCTAGCAATAGAGTAGCTTCAGAAGGTCCTTTACCTATAGAAAAGCTTCAGCAGGTCTTCTATCTACAGAAGAGCTTCAGCAGGTCTTCTATCTATAGAAGAGCTTCAGAAGGTCTTCTAGCCATAGAAGAGCTTCAGAAGGTCTTCTAGCCATAGAAGAGCTTCAGAAGGTCTTCTAGCCATAGAAGAGCTTCAGAAGGTCTTCTAGCCATAGAAGAGCTTCAGAAGGTCTTCTAGCCATAGAAGAGCTTCAGAAGGTCTTCTAGCCATAGAAGAGCTTCAGAAGGTCTTCTAGCCATAGAAGAGCTTCAGAAGGTCTTCTAGCCATAGAAGAGCTTCAGAAGGTCTTCTAGCCATAGAAGAGCTTCAGAAGGTCTTCTAGCCATAGAAGAGCTTCAGAAGGTCTTCTAGCTATAGAAGAGCTTCAGAAGGTCTTCTAGCTATAGAAGAGCTTCAGAAGGTCTTCTAGCTATAGAAGAGCTTCAGAAAGTCTTCTAGCTATAGAAGAGCTTCAGAAGGTCTTCTAGCTATAGAAGTCTTCTAGCAATAGAGTAGCTTCAGAAGGTCCTCTACCTGTAGAAGAGCTTCAGCAGGTCTTCTATCTACAGAAGAGCTTCAGCAGGTCTTCTATCTATAGAAGAGCTTCAGCAGGTCTTCTATCTATAGAAGAGCTTCAGCAGGTCTTCTATCTATAGAAGAGCTTCAGCAGGTCTTCTACCTATAGAAGAGCTTCAGCAGGTCTTCTATCTATAGAAGAGCTTCAAGCTATAGAAGAGCTTCAGAAGGTCTTCTAGCTATAGAAGGGCTTCAGAAGGTCTTCTAGCTATAGAAGAGCTTCAAAAGGTCTTCTAGCCATAGAAGAGCTTCAGAAAGTCTTCTAGCCATAGAAGAGCTTCAGAAGGTATTCTAGCTATAGAAGAGCTTCAGAAGATCTTCTAGCCATAGAAGAGCTTCAGAAGGTCTTCTAGCCATAGAAGAGCTTCAGAAGGTCTTCTAGCCATAGAAGAGCTTCAGAAGGTCTTCTAGCCATAGAAGAGCTTCAGAAGGTCTTCTAGCCATAGAAGAGCTTCAGAAGGTCTTCTAGCCATAGAAGAGCTTCAGAAGGTCTTCTAGCCATAGAAAAGCTTCAGAAGGTCTTCTAGCCATAGAAGAGCTTCAGAAGGTCTTCTAGCCATACAAGAGCTTCAGAAGGTATTCGAGCCATAGAAGAGCTTCAGAAGGCCTTCGAGCCATAGGATAGCTTCAGAAGGTCTTCGAGCCATGGAAGAGCTTCAGAAGATCTTCTAGCCATAGAAGAGCTTCAGAAGGTCTTCTCTCCATAGAAGAGCTTCAGAAGGTCTTCTCTCCATAGAAGAGCTTTAGAGCGTCTTCTAGCTATAAAAGAGCTTTAGAGCGTCGTCTAGCTATAGAAGAGCTCCAGAAGATCTTCTATCTATAGAAGAGCTTTAGAACGTCTTCTAGCTATAGAAGAGCTCCAGAAGATCTTCTATCTATAGAAGAGCTTCGGAAGATTTTATATCTATAAAAGAGCTTCGAAACAGCATGTTTTCTACAGATAGAAGACCTTCTACAGGTCTCAACAATTAACAGAACTTTAACAAGTCTTCTACAGATAGAAGACTCACAACAGGCCTTCTACAAATATAAGACTTGCAATAGGTTTGACGTAGATATAAGACCTTCAATAGATCTTGTACTGATATAAGATCTTCAACATGCCTTTTACAGATAAAGGACCTCCAACAGGTCTTTTACAGAAAAATACTCTTCAAAAAGTCTTCTACAGATAAAATACCTTTAAGAGCTGTTCAACAGACAAAATACTTTCAACGGGTTTTTCAGGTAGACCTAAGAACCTGAAGCAGTTCTTCAACAGCTCAATTGCAGGTCTTATACAGATAAAAGACCTTCAACAGACCTACATATAGAAGACCTCCAACAAGTCCGAGACCTTCAATAATTCTCTAGAGATAAAAGATCTGTTCATATTTCATCTTTTGAAGATCTTTCGAAAAGCTTCCTGTAGGTCTTCCATATATAAAGTGCATTTTGAAGGTTTTCCTTGTATATGAGAACGATTAAGTCCCCATATACCTTAAAAATATCAAGTTCTTCGTCTCAGGGCATAACATGTGCCATAGGTGGCTTCGTCCTTGACAGTTCAAATAGTTTGCAATGCATTTGTGTGAAGTTAATAAAATGTCATAATAGTGTGTTTTGTCTCCCCTCCCCCATTCCCTTTTATCTTTTTGCTACGACAAAAACTTTTCCTCTTAATAAAAGTACATTCTGCCCTTCTCCCCTCACACACATACACACTCGCTGTGCTCTTTAAATATTTACTCAATTTGCAATAAAGAAATACTTTTAAGATTCCCTGTTTTTTTCTTGTCTTGTCTTTCTTTTGCTAAAATCAAATTCCCTTAATGGGGTTGTAAAAATTCCTTGGCGTTGTAGAGACACTTTTGAGGATATCCTGCTAAACTTATGACATTTGCCATGTGGAAAATGGAGTAGATACGCTTTTACTTAACGATTACTTTATAATGGCATTATGAACTTGTTAACAATGGGTTAAACAACTAGCTGTTGCTTGGTCGTTCGCTCACCCCCTTGCTCGCTCTCAATGACATTTTGTGAATATTTTAAAGAAAGTCGTTGACCATAACACATTCTGTGTGCGCGGGGGGCGAGATTATGATGCCAACTTTGCGCCACACCTTTTTGTTCAATCTCGAAGAGGGTCCATTTTAATATCTGCCGAGATTATCAAGCGATAATGTATTTTGTCCCTATTATCCCAAGCCATACTTGGATTACAACAAAATGTTATGTTTTTGTTGTGTAGTTGAAAAAATACACCCACACACACGCACACGCCATTACATCTTAAGATCGGCTATGTCCATTGGTCCTAGTGCCAGTGGTCTCCATCCCCGTTGCTTGGTATGTGTCATGAACGCACAATACCATTATAATGATTATATTTCTATTATAAATAGTTTCGTTGTTTTTTGTTGTTCGTGTTGTTGGATTCGTACCATTCAATGCCCGGTGTGTTTTAGAGTTCCATTTCTTTTTTGCATTCTTGAGATGCTCTTCATGTTTCCACTATCCGCTTCTTGTACAGTTTTTAGATTTTGTCGTTGGTCTCTTTTTTTTGCCATGTCTTTTCCTTATTTCAAGTATAATTGAATTCCTTGGGTTTGAGGAAACAATGGAGTACTTTCACCACATCGAGTAAATGTAGATGTGTGTGTGTGTGTGTGTGTG